GGAAGTCAGCATGAGAGGTCTATGACACTAGACTGGCCCCCAGCCCACAAAAGCACATGATGCAATAACAACAGTAATGGGCTGTGTTGTGGCAGCAGCAGCAGTCATGGGAGCTCTTAGGCCAGAGGCAGTAAGAGTATTGGACAATACTACAGTCAGAAAAAGATTACAGTGGACCCTGAGCTGACACTAGGCACAGAACCAGTTGCTATTTGGCAACTCAATTACCCATGTGCAGCTCTAGGCTGCATTGTTAGTGGAGTTGTAATATGATCCAACCATTTTGGAGAGCAATTTGGAACTATGCCTGAAGGGCTATAAAAATGTGCGTACCCTTTCACCCAGCAATAGCACTTCTAGGGCTATATCCCAAAGAGATCATACAAATGGGAAAAGGACCCACATGTACAAAAATATTTACAGCAGCTCTTCTTGTGGCAGCAAAGAATTGGAAATTGAGAGGATACCCATCAATTGGGGAATGGCTAAACAAGCTGTGGTATATGAATGTAATGGAATACTATTGTGCTATAAAAAATGATGAACAGGCAGACTTCAGAAAAACCTGGAAAGACTTGTATGGTCTGATGCTGAGTGAAGGGAGCAGAACCAAGAGAACGTTGTACACAGTAACAGCCACGTTGTGCAGTGACTAATATTGATAGCCTTACCCTTTTCAGCAATACAAGGATCTAAGACATCTCCAAAGGCCTCATGATGGAAAATGCTATCTATATACAAAAAAATAACTATGGAGTATGAATGCAGATAGAAGCATATTATTTGCTTTTTTTTTTTCTTCTGCTATGTTTTGTTTTCTCTTTCTGGTGGTTCTTCCTATTGGTTCTAATTCTTACTTACAACTTCACTAATGTGAAAATATGTTTAATAGGAATGTATATGTATAGCCTATATCAGATTGCACACCATCTTGGGGAGGGAGGTGGAGAGAGAGGGAGAGAAAAATTTAAAACTCAAAAGCTTATGGAAGTGATTGTTGATAAATCAAAATAAATTAATTTAAAAAATTAGAATTGGGCAAGGAAACACTAATGACTCCATAAGACATCAAGAAACAATAAAACAAAATCAATGGCCTAAAAAAATAGAAGAAAATGTGAAATATCTCCTCAGAAAAACAACTGACCTAGAAAATAATTTGAGGAAAGATAATTTAAGAATTCTTGGACTACCTGAAAATCATGATCAAAAAGAAAAGAGCCAAGACATCATATTTCAAGACATTATCAAGGAAAACTGCCTTGATGTCTTAGATCCAAGGAGTAAAATAGAAATTGAAAGAATCCATCAATCACCTCTTAAAAGAGATCCCCAAATGAAAATGTCTAGGAATATTTTAGCCAAGTTCCAGAGCTCCCAAGTCAAGAAGAAAATATTGCAAACAGCCAGAAAAAATTATTCAAATATCATGGAACCACAATCAGGATCACACAAGATTTAGCAGCTTCTGTATTAAAGAAACAGAAAACTTGGAATATGATACTGGAAGGCAAAGGAGCTAGGATTACAACCAAGAACAGTCTACCCAGCAAAACCAAGCACAATGCTTCAGGGGGAAAATGGATATTCAATGAAGTAAAGGATGTTCAAGCATCACTGATGAAAAGACCACAGTTGAATTAAAAAAATCTGACATTCAACCACAAGACTCAAGAAAAGCATAAAAAGGTAAACAAGAAAGAGAAATCATAAGGGACCTAATAAGGTTAAACTGTTTACATTCTTATATGGGAAAATGATACATGTAACTCTTAAGAACTTTTTCATTATTAGGGCAGTTTGCATAGATAGAGAACATGCAGTGAGCATGGGTATGAGTTGATTATGTTGGGATAATCTCAAAAAAAAGAAGGGGTGATAAAGAGGGATGCACTGGGAGAAGAGGGAAGGGAGAAGAAGAATGGGGGAAACTATCTCACATTAAAAAGGTACATAAGGAAGAGTTGTTAAGTGGAGGGGAAAATGAGGGAGTGACAGGAAATTCTTTAACCTCACTCTCATTGGAATTGGTTCAAAAAGGGTAATATATGTATACATGCTCAGTTGGGTATAGAATCTATCTTACCCAACATGGAAGGAGGAGGGGAAAAGGATAAGATAAAGAGTAAATGTGATAAAAGGTAGAATGGATTAAAGAAGGCAGCAGGATAGAGTAAAAAGAGAGACAGAGGAGGAAAAACAGAAGAAAATAGGATGGAGGGAAATACACAATTAGTAATCATAATTCTGATGAACAGAATGTAAATGGGATGAAATCACCCATAAAATGGAAGCAGATGGCAGAATGGATTAGAAACTAGAATCCAACAATATATTGTTTGAAAGAAACCCACTTGAAACAGAAAGAAAAACACACAGAGTTAAAATAAGGGCTTGGAGAAGACTCTATTATGTTTTGGATGAGGTTTAAAAAAAAGTCAGGTATAGCAATCATGATCTCAGATACAGCAAAAGCAAAAACAGCCCTAATTAAGAGATAATCAAGGAAACTAGATTTTGCTAAAAGGTACAAAAGAAAATGAAGCAACATCAAAAATTTTTACAGTAAGTATCTCTGATAAAAGCCTCATTCCTCAAAATATATAGGGAACTGAGTCAAATTTGTAAAAATAAGAATCATTCTCTAATTAATAAATGGTCAAAGGATATGAACAGGCAGTTTTCAGAAGAAATCAAACCTATCTACAATTATATTTTAACATGTTTTAGGTCATTATTGATTAAAGAAATGCAAATTAAAACAAGCTTGAGATACCACCTCACACCTATCACATTGACTAACATGACGGAAAAGAAAAACAACAAATGTTGGGGGGGATGTAGAAAAATAGGGACATGAATGCACTGTTGGTGGCACTGTAAACTGATCCAGTCATTTTGGAGAACAATTTGGAACTATGCCCAAAAGGCTATCAAACTGTGCATACCCTTTGCCCCAGAAATACCACTACTAGGTCTCTATCCCAAAAATATCAAAGGAAAAGGACCCACATGTACAAAAATATTTATAGCTGCTCTTTCTGTGGTGGCAAAGAATTGGAAATCAGGGGATACCTATCAATTGGAGAATGGCTAAACAAGTTGTGGTAGATGATTATGATAGAACACTATTGTGCTATAAAAAATGATGAACAGAATGGTTTCAGAAAAAAAAAAACTCGTATGACTTATATGAATTACTGCAGAGTGAAGTGAGTAGAACCAGGAGATCATTGTAAACAGTAACAGCAATGCTGTTAAAATTATCAATTGTGAAAGACTTGGTTACTCAGATCAATACAACGATCCAAGACAATTCCAAAGGACTCATGATGAAAAAATGCTCTCCACCTCCAGAGAGAGAACTGATGAACTCTAAGTGCAAATTGAAGTTTGTTTGTTTTTTACATTCTTGATTTTTCTTGCTTTTTTGTGACATGGTTAATATGGAAATATGTTTTACATTATTTCACATATATAATTGATATCATATTGCTTGCCTTCTTGATGGGTGGGAAAGGGGCTGGAGAGAGGAAAAGAATTTAGAACTCAAGTTTTTTAAATGCTAAAGATAAATTTTTTTTAAAAAGAGACTCATTGTAGGTATAAACAATTTTATTACAATATTAACAATGATTACTTGAATATAACTGGTATATTAAGAATATCCGAGAAATGTATGAGTGGAAAAAGAGATGGGCTAGTTAAGTATTTAGAATGAATAATAACAAATGTACAGCTCAAGTAGTATCCAAAATGTAAAAGGACCTGTTGGGGAGATTCCATGTCATGTGTAAGAAAGAACACGCACAAGAATGGCAAATGATGGGGGCAGCTAGGTGGCACAGTGGTTAGAGCACCGGCCCTGAAGTCAGGAGGACCTGAGTTCAAATCCAGCCTCAGACATATAATACTTCCTACCTGTGTGACTCTGGGCAAGTCACTTAACCCCAATTGCCTCACTTAAAAAAAAAAAGAATGGCATATGATGAGAAGCCGTGGATAAATTGTAATCTGTACCAGGAACTTAATACCCACATCACTGATAATCCACATCCATGGCTGTCATAGAATAATTGAACTTAAAACGTACATGGTACTGTGCTAAAGCCTGGGGATACAAACATGAAAAATATTAAGTAAAATATTCTGATGTCCACCTCTCTTATGCCACTGTGAGGCGGACAGCACTGTTCCCTTCATTAGAAACCAGAAAAGGGAAATCCAAAAAGCTTTTGTTCCAGACTAATAGGGGAAAGAGTGGATGTGGGAATTAAAAACATCAAAACCATAATGACTAACAAATCTGTTTTATTCATTTTAACTGCCATGACTTTTTAAATTCTAGTTCTTTGATACAAATTTTGTCATTTAAATGTTTTTAAATGTCATCGCTGAGTCAACCACAATTAATATTCCTATATCATATAAATATTTGATGTATTAGCTATCAATCAAATGTTGCTTGATTCTCTTAAAACAAAATTAATTATGGAGTAGGACAAAGGCTCATGAAGGGGTAGCAAATAATTAATTTACAAGTCACTTGGATTAACAGATATTTTATTAACCTCAAACTGCTGGATACTAAGAGCAGAATTCTGACATATTAAATTTTTAAAATTTCTGAGCCTTCATATTTTCTTCTATTTAGTCTATATCTTTAAAAAATATAAAAGAACTAGATTATAACAAATAAGTTATTTAAGATCTCTGAAATAATCTCAACTCATATTCAAAAATATTCATGTTTGAAGACTAAATACATTAGCTATTTCTGTATGTTAAAGCAGGACTATAGGATTTTAATAGTAATTACTGGGAGATATAATTTTTAACCAATTTTACATTCGAATAGACAAAAAGTCACAACTGACAAATGTGTATTTTTAATATTTCTCTGAAGTTAGGTATGATATAGTCAAAATAAACAATCAGAGGTCTCCAATGCAAATACTTTCAATTGCTAAGCCTCTGTTTCTCTAAAAAGAAGACTTTACCTTTTACATTCTTTCCAAATGCCATAGAAGAGCCAACTCCTTCTTGCTCTCTGCTGTTTGATTTCTCCTTCATAATCTCATCTTCCTCATTGGAAGCATCATCAGAGGACTTTTTCTTTTTCTTACGTCGAGGTGGAAGCTTCTTTGGGAAAGTAAACATTGGGAATATCACGAGAAGCATTGCAATGGCACAAAGGAGGAATCCACTCCACCTAAAAATCAAGAAACATGAAGAGCCATTTATGCCTTAGGTGGCATGAAGGGTGAACCAAATAAGAAGACAGAGCAGAAGTGATAAAACTTTAAAGAGATAAGAAACAATTTATCTTCACAGATCAATAGCTAAGAGGAAAAAAACAGCTAAGCTAAATAACTAAAAAGGCTTCTCTTGTTCTGCAGCACCATAAATGGCAAGCCTACCCATAACGTCAACAGTTAAACACTCTAGTAGTCCTATTGAAATTTTATTCTATTCAATAATATTTCTAAAAAACCTAATTAATGTGTTTTTCACTGTGCTGTCATCTCCTTAATGAAAGTTCAATGGTACATCCTCAAACAAAAGTAATCTTCCACTCCAATCCTATTTCAGCTCTACAACAAGACGTGGAGGTGACTCTGGGTTCTCAAAGCTATGACAGCAGAGTGAAAACAACATAGTATAGGGGCCCATACCCATAGCTCTCGGGAGGTTTGGTTTTGTTTTTCTAAAACCCCCTTGACTCCTTTTCCCCACTGCCAATGTCTCCCTTAGGAACATCAGTATCTAGAGTTTCTCCTGGGAATATCAGAATTTAGCTCAGATCTTTTCCCCTGAAGGTCCTCAGATTCTCATGCCTGTGAAGGCACGGCAATGTTGCAAGCTGCATCAGCAGGCATGTTTTCACCAATGCAATTGTTGGTCTCTCTTTTTTTTTAATTTTATTGGTGAGGCAATCAGGGTTAAGTGACTTGCCCAGGGTCACACAGCTAGTAAGTATCAAGTGTCTGAAGTCACATTTGAACTCAGGTCCTCCTGACTCCAAGGCTGAAGCTCTATCCACTGAGCCACCTAGCTGCCCTTGCTGGTCTCTTTTTAAGAACTAGGAGATAGTGGGGAAACTACTAAAGAAAATTTTTAAAAATCTCATCTCCCAACATATGGGCTACTGCAAACATGAGTCTTTCATCAAATGGGGGGAATAAAACCATTTCAGATATTAACAAAAGGCACTTTTTAACCTGCCTGCTGATGTTTAAGTTTTTTTTTTTAATTTTGATTAAGAAGAATCTGTTATGCACCTCCTATGTAGCCTGTACTTTGGAGAATACAAAAAAAAAGGTGGGGTATGGGCCTTTCCCTCAAAGGAATTTAACATACAGTTAAAAAAAAAAAAAGCAATTCACGTAAAACAGTGAGAAGAGTATAGACTATGATGAAGTGAAGTGTTAGAATGTGGGAGAAAAAACAATAATCACGACTAGTATTTCTATAATGCTTTAAGGTTTCCAAAAATAATCTTATATAATGATATCTTATCTGATCCTTACAACAGCACTGTTGTCATTTCCATTTTACAGTTGAGGAAAAAGAGGCTTAAGAGAAAATAAATAAGTTTTCCCAGGGTCACCTAGCTAACAAGAATCTGGGGCAGAATTTAAACTCAGGTCTTCCTGACCCCAAGTCCAATCTTCTATCCACTCTGCCACCTGGTGTTATAAATGCTTATGGACCTCAGCAAAGGAGGAATTAGCGCAAACTGCAGTATAATGAAAAGTTTCATGGCAAAGGAGTTGAGGCCTAGTGGCCTCAAAGACTGGCTAGGATTTAGATTCTGTCTATGTATAAACTGAATATCACCATGCAACAGCCACTAATTCTTATATTCATTGAGAAGCAGTTGGTTTTTTTTTAATACTCAAAATCCCCCTAGTAAGTTCCTATTTCTTTTTGGGGGGGGGGAGGGTTTGGAGGGGCAATGGGGTTAAGTGACTTGCCCAGGGTCACACAGCTAGTTAAGTGTCAAGTGTCTGAGGCTAGATTTGAACTCAAGTCCTCCTGACTCCAGAGCCAGTACTCTATCCATTGCACCACCTAGCTGCCCATAAGTTCCTCTTTCAATCCATCACCTACTATGTGCCAGGCACTGTGCTAAGTATACAAATATAAAAGTGCGATAGTCTTTGCCCTCAATAAGTTTATATTCTACTGATATCATAAGTATGGTCACAGGACCCTAAAAATCAAACATAATGCCATAATCATATATGGGAATGGGGTTCCTACCAGTGAAACTCATTCGCCTTCCATTTGCTCCTGCAGCCTCTTGTCTCTGGGCCAAGATTTCTTTCACCACCATCACCACTCCCACCCCCGCCTTCTTCTCTCTGCCAGGTCTTAAGAACTGGCCTGTCTGCTCTCTTCTGATTATCATTACATCTCTTCCCTCTGACTAAAGCTTTACTCCTCCCTGGCCCACTTGTGCAGAAGTGAAATATGATCCCCAACTTCTCTCCTATTTTCTTGCTCCTGTGAAAGCCCTGCAGCCCTTCTGAGATTTCCTAAGGGATTTTGCTTTAAGTAACTACAGAGAAACTTGGGAGATAAAAATAACAAACATGAGGAAGTTACATAGCTATAAAAGGTCATAAAGCTTTCATAATAAAAGTTATCTCAGGTATTCAATGGAGTGCAAATACATAAGGTCTGATCTCAGCTCCTTCATGAACTCCTCATTCATGTCCCCCAAGAGCCAGTCATTCTCAGACTCTTTGTCTATTAATTATTATTCATATATATAAATTGTTAATAGGGCTGTTATCCCTGGATCATACTCCTTCAATAAGGAAAATGCCATCCAAAGTGCCATCTCCTAACCCCCTTTCTTCCCTTCAGTAGACTCTGTATAGGGAAGACAAAGATGAACACAGATGCTCTCACAACAACTCACAGTTACATAGGATTAAATTTAAGGTTTGCAAGGCACGTTACGGTTATTGTCTCTTTTAATCCTCATCACAGCCCTGGGGATAAGGAATACAAACATTCTTAGACATTTAAAATATGAGAAAACTGAGGCTTAGAGAGGTAATCCTGGTCATGGTTACTAAGCAAAGTGTCAGAGCCTGGATTTGAAAGTGCTTGTCCTAACTTCAAAACCAAACTCATAACTCTGTCTCTTACTATAAAGGAAAGAGAAAATTCCAGGTTTCTGTGTTTATCTCTCCCCCAGTTGCTAATAACTTCCTCCCACACACTGAAAAAACAAACAAAAAACAACTTGTTTTCATATATACTTATTTTGCAAATATTTATATGTGTACCTATTTTCTCCCCTGATAGAATGTAAAATCTTTGAAAGAGAGACTCTTTCATTTCTTTCTGTAGCTCCAACTTCTAGCATGGTGCCTGGCATATAGTAGGCATTTGCGAAATACTTGTTCATTAACTGATATCTCATTATCTCCCTATTTCACATAACAATAATTCACATTTATATACTGCTTTAAAGTTTGCAAAAGTGCTTTACTATCAACAACCCTATGAAATAAGGAGTATACTATTAGCATGGCACAGTGGATAGAGACCAGCCTTGAAGTCAGAAAGATCTGGGTTCAAGTCCTGACTCTGACACATACTAGCTATGTGACTCTGGGTAAGTCACTTAACCCCTCATGCTCCAGGCACTTTCTTGGTTTTTGTTTTGTTTTGTTTTGTTTTTAGGCAATTGCGATTAAGTGACTTGCCCAGGGTCACACATCTAGTAAGTGCCAAGTGTTTGGTCTGAGGCTGGATTTGAACTCAGGTGCTCCTGACTTCAGGGCCGGTGCTCTATCCACCGTGCCACCTAGCTGCCCCTCCTGGTAACTTTCTTAAGAATTTAAATTCCATAGAAGGTGCCAACCTGAATTGGTAGAGAGATTTTTATCATCCAGGAGGATCCCTATACCAGTGAAATCCCAGGTCCAAGTCTACTCCCTGTCCCCTATATTAATGAGGAATCTGAAGAACAGAAAAGATGTTTTAGCCATTAGTACACAGTCAGTGTCTGTAAAATTCAAACCCAAGCCTTTCACATTCTATTAATGATGCCACACTTGCTCTCAAAAGAAAAGAAAAAAAAATACTAGTCTTAGATCAGTCCCAGACACTATGAGCAGTCATTTTATCTTTAATTTGCTTTAATGTATCTGAAGATACATTCTAATCATGAGTGTGGATTAGCTAGAAGAAACACTTAGGCAAATTTAGAAACCTAATCACCTCTCACCTTATCTCTATCATAAACTCCTTCTCTGTCAGTCACTCTCAGTTCTAGGATTCTACCAGCTACTTCAAAAATGCTTCAGTAAGTCTCTGGTCTCATCTATTATGGGCACTTCCTCCACTGATGAAATTCACAACCCACCCACATCTCCTTGTCTGTATGATTCTCATTCATCTCTCCCAAGATCCTCCATAGAAAGAGCCATCTAACCTTTCGAAAGGTCTAAAAACTGTGATTCTTAGTACTCTTTGCTTCCTTTCAACGCTCCTCCTGGTACCACTGTGACTGGAAGTAGAAAGAGGTCACAGAGAAGGAAGAATATTTTTAAATTTTTCTTTGCTTTATGGGTTATCATGTCAAAGAATCCATCGCCTAGTGGCAAACTAGTAATGAGACTCTCATTATTTAGCTAGACTAGTTCTCAGTTGTTTTAATCAGTCACCAGGACAATACTTCAAGTCTTTCCAACAAGGTAGAACATCCTAGAGCCTATGGTCCCTTCATAAAATCTTCAAGAACCTAGCGTTCCTTGTACAACATAATAAGGCGTCTCGAAAAAAATATGTAATTGTAAAAAACTATTCCTAGAAAAGTTGCTGATATTTGAAGTTTCATAGCTGAATTATGAGATTGTATTTTCAAAATGTCACACTCTTTCAAAGTTGATACTTGTATATATTTTGCATTGCTTTATATGTGAATGTGTTATTTCCACCATAGAAGTGAGCTCCTTGAAGGCAGGGACTAATTTGTTTTTGTCTTCGTATTCTCAGTGCTTAATACAGTGTCTGGCACATAGTAGGCACCTAATAAATGCTTGTTAATTGACTGGAGGTTTAAAATTAAGTCTAAGACTACTAGAACTTCTTGGACAACTGGGAATCAAAACCATTCATGGGCCCAACATCGCTGATGTCAACATAGGAACTTTGACCTGCTCCATTTCTGCCCTGAGCTGGTTTGCC